GGGATCACATGCTGGCCACGCCCCCAGACGCTACTCTTTTAGTGTGAAGTTACAATAATAACTCAAAATATTTACTTTTTAAAAATATACCATATTAAAATGTACTATAGTTATTTTTTTTATTAGTAATATATTTATGTACATTATTAACCCATTTTCTACTAATAGTATTTAATTTTTTCCGAGCTTTGCAAAAAACTCAACGGTAATCAAACTAATAATGTAATTTTAAATAGGTTTTAATATATCTAATGCTTGCATCTCAAAAAATCTAAATTTAACAAAGGAGATATTCCAATTGGAGTTTTTGTTATTATTTAATTCTAGCTTGGCTTAATTATAAAGTTAATTGCTTTATCTGACACTGGAGATTCTTAATTAGGTAACATACAGATATAGTATAGATTATATTACACTCTACATTTACCAGTAATTCTCATGTGTTCATTTAAATGAAGGGCCTCTCAACCTTAATTACAAGCTAGTTTATGTAAAATATGGTTTACTAGTATTTATAAAAATATATCAAAGTTTTAGGAATGTTTCAGTTTTTATTATCTGTGGAATTGCTATGTGGCACATAGCTTCTTGTATTTTTTTATATATGCCATCTCTTTTCTAGCAAATGTAATAACAGTAATTAGAGCTGGATTTTGCTTTTTAAAAGAAACCTATCATGAAACAAAAATATATAGGTTGTCATTGGTTAATGCCAACTAAGTTTTCAGTTTAAATAATATAAATATATTACAGGTTCATTGAAGCAAAAGGTATGCAAAATCTTTGTTATTTTATTTTAAAAAGCAGCCACAACCTGAGTAAGAAGTCTGTCCCCTGCCAGAATGCTGTAGAGGACCATTTCTTTCTGCATGGAAGCAGTGGTCTCTTTGCAGAGGTCTGACTTACCCATTGCTGAGTCAAAGGTAGAATCCATTAATCAGCAGAAGCATGAGCCTTGCTGATTGGAAAGCTTTAGCTCTGACTCAGCAGGGTAAGTGTCAGACCGCTTATTTTTCTTGAAGACGTTTCACTGGACATCTGACCAGCTTTCCCAATTCAGAAATTTCTGATATGAGAAAGCTGGTTGGATGACTAGTGAAACGTCCTCAAGTAAAATACAGCAAGTCCAGTTGCCTTGACTAATTTTTTACAGATATTCTCTATTAGCAAGCTTCCTATATTGTTGCAAGGTTTGTGTATTGGTTGTAGCAAGGCTTGTGTGTCAGCTGTAGCCCTCCGGTACTTACTAGTGGCCGGCCCTGCCCCTCGATTGCGCTTCTATGTTTGGCTCCGCCCCCTGTTGTGAGGGGTGCGGCCTGCCGGTGGTCATGTGATTGGGCTGCTCAGTCTAAAATGCCCGGGCCTATTTTTAGTCCCAGTCCGGCCCTGCCGCTGTAGATAGAGCACTACTTACACGCAGAGATTACTTACACCCAGAGAGTAAAGATCTAAAGCAAGCTGGCACAGAACGGGCTTTTCTACTCTGTTTTCTAAAGAAATTGAACTGTAAGGTTTTGCACACCTTTTGTTTTGATGCTCCTGGAATGTGTTTAGCTAATTTAAGTTGATTTAACACTTTCTTAAAATGCTAGTTCCCTAGTTATTATGTTAGTCTTTCTACATTTACATTACTGACCCACAATAAATGTGCAACCTGATTATAGAAGGGCAAAGTTATGTGGACTTATGTAAAAAAAAAAAAAGGCTGATATATCTTTCTCGGTGCTTACAGTCTTTTGTTGTACTAGGCTTCTACACTAAAGCACCCCCTAACACTTTTATTCCTCTACCAGAAAATGTAACACCTAATAAAATAGGCATATACTTAAAATCTAAAGTTTGGCGCTCCAACAGGGATTCATTAACACTGTTTAATGTGACAAATCAAGTTAGTAATGAATTGTCACTTTAGCATGCCATGCCTGATTAGAATGAACTGAACACTTCCTCACATATGTCAGTGCCTGGGCATACTCTGTTCTTCTAGCTTTTTAGGAGCCTATCATTAGTTCAGTAGGCATACCCTGATTACTACTGCTTCTGATTACTGTATTACATTGATGTACTAATCATGGGGTAGCATCTAGGAACAGGGAACATTGTTCCATAAAGACACTGTGCACTGGATGTAAAAGTTACTTGGACAAAAGTGCAGCTTTATTTCTTGTCTCAATAACAACTATTTTAATCACAAGCATAACTTCTTGAATTACTGAATCTGCCTGAGTTCTATTTAACAAAGGTTTGGAGAATTCTAATTTTAAATTCTATGCATCCAAACATCGTGGTAAATCTCATTGAAGTCTATGAAGGGGGTGGTGAATCCTTTTAATTCTGGCCTTTTTTGGGGGGGCTAATAGGCACACTGCCATAACAAAAGCACGTAGGATGCTGGGCGCTTCCATTGGGAACATACCAACAAAAATACCAAACATTGGGGAAAGGCTTTTGTTTAATGAGGCTTTGAGGGCAAGATTAAAAACCACAAATCCTTTAAAAAAGATGCTTGGGATACCTTAAAGATGTTAATGGTGTTACAGAACAGCACAATTTTCATGCACAGCTACTACATCAGTTACTGTGTACAATGCCAGCTCATATTTAGCTGTAAAATTGTTTTTTTTTTTTCTTTTGCTATTAGCTTGGCTTTTTTTTAGAGCAGCAGGACCCCAAACTGATAAAATTAGTTTTAAAAATGTAATTTCAGGTCATTTTAGTAGTTACACATGTCAAATTATCCAGTAGTTGATTTAACCCCTTGCCGTCCGCCCATCGTAAAATTACGGGCGGACGGCGGATCCTTCCCGGCGGCAGAATCCTGCTGGGAAGGATGACATTCGTTACCAGCTGTCTCATACAAGCGGTCGGCCAACTCTATAGCCGGCCGATCGGTTGTATGATCTCGTGTGGTGTGCCCCCCCCCTTCGCTGCCGCGCCCCAGCCTCCTTCACCACTGCCGGCTATCCCAGGCACCACTGTCGCCCCTGGGGTACCCGGGACCGAGAGGACCAGCACAGCGGCTGCTCGAAGAGAGAAAGAGGAGAGATCAGCATTTCCCACCGCTGATCTCTCCCCCTTTCTCTCTCTTTAAAGTCGGAAGCCAGAGAAGAAGCTGATGAAGCAGATATCTGCTTCATCAGCTTCTTTCGGGGTCCCTAGGTGACATTAGTGGTCTTGGGGACCCCTGATGTCTCCATTAAGAGTACTTGTCATTTTTTTTCTAGCTATCACATTGAGGGTGTTTTAGCCCCCAATGTGATAGCAATCAAGTTAAGTGTAAAAAATAAGTTTAAAGAAAAAAAGTTACAAAAAAAGTCTCACATAAAAAAAGTTTTAAGGCCCCCGCGGGGGAAGCTGCATGGGGTGTCTGGGATCCCTGGGGCTGTGGATCACAGGTGCTCCATTTCTCATCAGCATGCCCCCAGCGATGTGTGCATGGGTGTGTTCACGGTGTGCCCAGCACACCCCATGTGCACACCTATAGTTCAGAGGGATCCACATCCTGCTTGATTTTTGGCAAAGTCAGCAAGATTTGTATGAAATTTGAGCACTGTATGGGCAGCTTAAGTCTAGTGTCAGTGTTGTCTGTTGAGGGCAGTGGATTGCATGCACTGATATGCAGCACAGTGACCTTGCAGCCCTGGGGTCCCTAGTTTTAATCCTGCAAAGAGTTTGCATGTTCTCCCTGTGCTTGTTTGGGTTTCCTCCCATGCTCCAAAGACATGCTGGAAGGTTAATTGACTTCTGTCTAAATTATTTGTTAAATACTTAAAAATTGAACCAGCAGAGATAAGCACCACACCCCGTAATAGAGATATATATATATAAGAGCAAAAAGGAAAAATGGGGCTTTTAAAGTGTCTTCTTGAAGATTGGGCCTACAGTGAATTGCACAGCAAATATATTTTTTAGGACAAATAAGGATTTTATAATATATATAAATATACAAGTATAATGCATACACACATGTGGGTACCAAAAGGAAGTAGTTTGGTTTTAATGTACTATTGTATCATACTGATGACATTCTGAATGTAACCGAGTCTCAAAATCATGTTGATTTTAATGCAATACAATTTATTATTTTTTATACAAAACTATGTGTGTCTGATGGACATGTGGTATGGTTTGGACACTTTAAAGCCCCATTTTTCCTATTTGTTCTTCTATATTTCTGTCTAAATTAGTCCTATGTGTGCAATAGAGAGCTTAGATTGCAAGCTCCGTGAGGGCACTGACTAATGTGACTAATGTGCAATATGTAAAGCGCTGCGTAAATTGACAGCGCTATATAAATACTCCTAATAAATAAATAAGTTGAAAGATTGTGGATTGTTCTTCCTTCCATAACCAGCTTTAGTGCTTCTTTGACTTTCTAGAAGGCTATAGACAAAGACGTCAATTCTGGACTTAATCTCAGTATTTGAAATTACAACTACACAAATTATCAATACATTCAGTGCTAGTCATCTAAAGTAAACACCAAGGTACAGTTCTAACCTGCGTGTGATATTTTAAGCTGAAAAAAAATCTTTTTTTCCATCATACATATAAAAAACATTTTTTTTCTAACAATGGATGAAGCTTAACTACTTGTAGAATTGTATTATATAAAGATATATTCTCTCTTGTAGCACAGTGGGGAAAAAAAGGTGAAAATTGATTCAAATCGAACATCATATACTCTATTATCTGGCACGAGGACATCAAAAAGCTTATTTAAACCATAATGCTGGAATTTCTAATCCCCCCGAGAGTAAAAGCAGACAAAATGCAGTTCCTGTAAGTGTACTGACTATGAAATTAGGCATACGAGCACATCTTCGGCTATGGGAATAGAACTGTCTTTCAGTGGAGCAGAATAATGTGATAGTAACACTCTGTGCTTGGGAACTGCAAGATGCAATTTTACACTGCTTTAAGTACATGTATCTGTTGAGTTGACATGCAAAATGGTTTCTCTACTTGAAAATGTCTTCCCTCCCATTTTCTTTATTCAGGGATGTGTGCCTGTCACTCTCCACTGCCGTCCATAAAGGGAGCTGTTATCGTGCTTGGAGCCGGAGACACTGCTTTTGACTGTGCAACTTCGGCATTGCGATGTGGCGCTCGCAGAGTCTTTGTAGTCTTCAGAAAAGGATTCACGAACATACGTGCTGTTCCTGAAGAGGTAAATATAGCAGTAAATATGGTTAATGGGAACATTTTATTAAAGTATAAAGACTTTGCTTAGAAGGTCAAAAAATGTTAAAGGGGAAGTAACATATAGCAGTCAATTTGAATTCATCTTTCATTAGGCTGCTTTCTCTAAGTCAATGAAAGCTTAATTTTTATTGGATGCAGTGTGTCCCTGTCATTATAAAGATTTCATAAACCAAAAATAAAATTGTTTGTGGAATATCAGCAGCTCTCAGAAATAGGGACCAATAAAAGGACTATGCAGAACATCATAAGTGTTTTTCATTTTTCATTACATATAATAAAGGTGTAACCTCCTTTTAGATTATTACACTTTCAAGCAGAAAATAACAAGCACTTTTTTTTTATTTTCAGCAGTGTTTATATATGGGCTAATAGTTGTAAGTATGAAAAGACAGTGCTGTTATAGATTTTTATATATATATTGTACTGGAGAGGTAAGCATATCAATAAAATCAACTTTATTTACATATCAGTAAAAAAATGTACAGGGTAAGAAAACCCTAAAAAAAAACATATGCATACAAAGATCTATACAAAAACATTTGCTGGCCACTATAATGTATTACATATGATTTAAAACATAGTCTTTTAATATATAGCACATGTCTCCTATCTGTAGGCGCATTTTTGCGAAAAAGGTTTGCTTCTTTGGGATTGAGCAAGAGTCTATTTGGAAATATTCAGCATAACACAGCGGCCCCAAAATGTTTGCTTCTATGATTAAAGTGAACTAAACTCAGGAGTTTAAGCTTAAAAATGCATTCAAGTACCTGATTAACAAAAATTTTGCTTATTTGTGCACTCAGCTGTAGATCCTCAGATCATCTCTGAATTCATACTGATACTGTTGTAAAATAGCCACCGCTCCAAGCTCACTCCTGTGATGGACTACAATATCAATACAAATTAGTCAACTAAATATGAGATTATAGTCCATCATGAGAGCAAGCTTGGAGCGGTGGCTACTTCACAACACGCACAGGGGCCATGGGGAACAAAAGTAGCCACCCTCCAGAAGGAAGGACAGTGTCAGCATTAATTTGGAGATGATTTGAGGATCTACAGGCAAGCGATACATAAAAAAGCTACATTTTTGTTAATTGTTAAGGTACTTGAATGCATCTTTAAGATTTAACTCCCGAGTGTCACTTTAATAGCATATACTATGTGGCAGTGCGTGGCAATGCCACTGTGTAATCTATATTTCTGTATCCATATTTTGATAGTGTGTAGTGCCTGCTGATGGCACAGGTGTGGACAGCCTTTAAAATAAAGGTGTTGGGAAGGGTTCAGGGCTCCACCTGGGAGATAAGAAAACTCCACCCAGGAGTCAGAGTGGAGCCCAGTGTAGCAGGGTGCTGCAGGTTGAAAGAACCAAGTGTGCAGGTTAGCACAAGACTGAGACTGTCTGGAGGGACAGACAGTGGTCTGAAACTGGAGCAGTGGTGCTGCAAAATGCAAAGCCAGGAGACTGACTGTGCATGTGTTGCCAATAGATGCTAAAGAACCCATGTGACGGTAATTGCATTTGTGAATTTTCATTTGATAAAAGTGTGCAAGGAAGCCCTTACATGAAGATGTCAGTGAGTGGATGCGTCCTAAATGCCCTGCTGTTTGGAGCTAATTCTCACAACATATATATAGCAAACAAGACATCATTATTCCAATTGGTAACAATAAATACCATAATCATAGATATGCTCATTTGCACTCGTCAAACAATTTGTACTGTCGGAATGTGTATATGACACAACACGAAGCATCCCAGAAGTTCTATGCGTTAGAGAGAAAGAACACATCTCATGTACATGCCATTCATGCACTCAGTTTCTCATTGGAACTTCTGACAGAACCATCCAGTATGGGAGGTGTCACTGCTCTGATTCAGTCATTGATGTGGTTGCCCTACAACTAAGAACATCTTATCTGTCCCTATTCATAACACCAGTAAAAGGGTTAAAAAAAAAGGCAGATCTTTTAATGGTAATGAAGAGCATATGCTGATTTTCAATTCTGTAGAAGAGAACAGAGACTCCTGTAGATCAGGGTTCTTCCTTACAAACTGAACAAACAGCACTGAGAAATGGCAGACAGTTACTACCAGTCCCACAAGCAAACAGGTTTAAGTCCATGACAAGTGGGTGCTGACTTTACCAGGTCAATCCCTGACCGTGTTTTGCAGTATGCCATAAAAAAATCGAAGCCCCTACTTCTGAATACTTGTATCTGTATGGTATTCTCAGCAACACAATTCAAACCTGCCAAGCTCTGGCTCTGACGTGTTTTGCTGCTTTTTGAGCTTAGTCAAAGAGTAGAAAAAGGGAGAAGAAGATGAGGATTTAAATATATACAGTATATAATTTTATGAATGCTGTCTCAAAGGAAACTTGCCATGACTTAGGCTGACACTGCTAATTGTCCTCTTAAACATGCTAGTTACTGGGCTGTCCTGGTGATGCCAGTACGTACTGAGCCAATAAACTGATATAAGTATAGATAAAAAGGATAAAAGGGATTCCAACTTTTCTCTGAATTTGTTACTGCATAGTTTATCTATTTTTCATCACATTGCATCACCGTATACTTTAAAGAGAAATGACAGTAGTGATAATAATACAATATTTTGATGTACAAAGTGCAATATAATTAGATGCACATCTCCAAAATATTTTGTAAGTGCGTACTGGTCCTGAAGAGACCTCTGCCCACTGTGTCTAACACTAAAATCTCCCTGGGTAAATTTCCATCAACTTTTATTATTTGTACTCTACTTCTGTTAATATATGGAGATTGCAAAGTAAGATAAGATATGTAGTTAGATATACATTGAACTAACAACCTCCATTGTCATAGACTTTACACTTCCTGTCACAGCTGTTGCACAGTGTGTCTTAATATGACAGTCAGTCCAATAGGCACCAGAGGTTTTTTTATCATGCTTTATTTTCACAGACATTGGCATTGAATATAAAACACTCCAACAAAGTGTCTACACATCAATGCATAAACACACAGCATCAAGTAGATATACAAGACAAGGCATATAAACATGACCATGTCTGTTGTAAATCCTAGTATATGACATAAAAAATACCCAATACAACACTAGCTGCATTATACCATTGTTTAGTGAAGCTTTTGCATTTCATACTGTAAGGGAAGTTGGTAGGGGTGGATATTGGACTAGTAAGGTGTCTAGAAAACCCCCAGACTGGTGAGTGAGGGTAAATGGTTTGTATGCTTTGCTATCACATACTTGAGGGCTGCAAAGGGGGATAAATGGGGGGTAAGACACAGGAGAAGGATGACCCTATTGATAGGGGGAGGGGCTACAAATGGAGTGTATAAGATAGATGGGGAGAACAGAGATAAGTAGAAGCCACCCACTCTCTTCCTTTGCACTGCAAGACTGCATGAGGGCACTTGTGATTAGGGATGTGGCCAGTGCCTTGCCAGCATAAAGCACTGGAATGGGGGATCAGGAAGTGAATTTCCACTAAGAGAAAAAAGGTATAGTATGGTGTTTTTCAAACAAAAATCAGTTTCAAATCAAAACATATGGTGGTACAGGAGTATAAAGAGGGAAAAGGGTGTTAGACTACAACTGGGCTTCTGTGGATCAAAACAGAAGGGTAAGTATTATTCACACCTTTACACTTATATTGACCCCATACACATAGTAGCTATTATTTAGCTATACATCAGTTGATTATCTAGAACATTAGGTGATTTCCAGATATTCTACTGACAAGTGGCCCATATGTTTGGGACAGAGTATCTAGCAGACATTCATTAATTATTTAGATATAATATGTGTACAGTGAAAAATATGATTATATGATGACAACATCTTGCAAGCTTACCAAATGCTCTGTCACACTCAGCAGCTTTTCTACCCTGAGGTCGATTGAACCCTATCTGCTTCCAACCAACTTCTAATGTTTATGGACAATCTAAAAAAATGTTGCTGTCTGAGCCTAAATCAGTTTGGTAGACATAAAATAAGCTGTTTTTTCCCCTTGGTTTATTCCTTCTTTTAAGTAGTCTGTTTAATGATGTCTGCACAATCCTGTAATGAGTCCGAGTAAACAATCTCGTGAAAGTCAGTGGCATGTTGTCCAAATAGTTTGTCAGTGATTTGTTTATAAAATCAAAAGACTGTGAGACACATATTTCGCGACACATTTAAGTCAAAAAAGAAGCAGACCCAAACAAATAAATTAGGTTTAATTAATTTAAACAATATGTTTATATTTCTGATGTGAATGTTTATGATATTTTTTATTAATTTGGAAAATAGAATAAAAGCTTGTGAATTGTTGGTAAATATATCCTATTAAACAACTGGTACAAAAACATTATTCTGGGAACTCTTATTTGAATGAATCCTTAGTGGTTCACACACCTCATATGCAGTCAGATAGACTACAACCTCCATTCTCACATTTTTACCTCCAATTTCCTGTTACAGTAATTGTGCAGGATGCCTAAATATGACCGTGCAGTTCAATAGTCATCAGAGTTAGATCCACTGCTCTGAGTGATCAGCTCTCAGTAAAAGACCTGGTAATATACACCTCCTCTCACCTGAGGTCTGTGTGAGGACACTTGTGCTAAAGGGTGTGGCTGTTACTCAGCTACACTATCATAGCACACTGGAATGCACAAACCAGCATTTGCCTTCATATGTGTGTGTGGAGGGGTGCTTTTACCTTTTTTAATAATTTTTCTTTATTTTATTATATTTATTTTTAAATTGTTTCTCCACCTAATTTTATTGCTATCATAAGGAAGGGGATAACAAGCCCCCTATGTGATAGCATAAGGCAGGTGACAGGTACTCTTTATGGAGACATGAGGGGTATATTAGACCCCTAAAGTCTACCCTGCCCTCTGCTCCAGCTGATCAAGCTCAGATTGTACTTGATCTGCTGTTTATCTGACTTTTAATCTGGTATTTTTATCGCCCTGAACACAAAATTACTCAGAGCTTGGCCACACTCACACTCTGTGGAGGACAGATGTTCCTCAATGCCCTCCCAATCACCATCCTGGCAGTTATCTGCCGTGCTTCCTCGGTTTTCCAGATCCCCCTCGGATCCCAGAACCACAATAATG